CATAACCTGCTTCTCATTTTCAATACCACTTGGTATTAGAGCTGCAGTGAACTGCTGGTGAGAGATTCTAATTCCTGCAAACAAGCCCCTGTAGGCTTGCAAGCAAAACAGAGAGTTCCCCTCTTGGTTGCCTGCTAGGTTCCCATCTGGCTGTTTTAACTTTGCTATTGCTTTTAAATGTGCCTGTTTCTGCACACGAGGCTTTCAGCTCTACCTCAAGAGACTCCTGGGTTCTCTTAGCGTCAGATTCTGGCCAAAATGTAGAGACACAGATTGGGTCTTCTCAACAAAAAAGAAGATCAGATTTCACATTACAGTATCTGAAAGATTAATTCCACTTACATGATCATTTCCCTGTGAACCACACTTCTTTCCATCTGGATTTTTCCATCAGGAGGACAAAGAGCTATAGTGTTAAGCACTACCTGAGAGAAAAGAGCAAGGAGTGTAAAAGATGAGTGCAGAGATGCTTGCTGAGAGAAAAGAGAAGAAAAAACAGAGTAGAGAGCAATTTCAAATGCATCAAGAGGATTCTTTTTTTTTTTTTTTTCCCCCCCACACACGAATTATATTCTGATCTCATGCTTTGGTATTTTGAACCATTCAGTATGTCAGGTTTTGATTCAGGGAATTTAGGATATTTGGCTGCAGGAGCTTTCTGTATCATGTTATTGTTATCTAGTGTTTGCATTATTGTAGTAACCACAGGTCCAGCCAAAATCAGTGCCCTGCTGTGTCCGAGGCTATCAATAATCTCATGTAAGACCTTGCTATTGAAAGACACCTGTCCCCATCCAGGCCACCACCATAACCACAAGCAGAGCCGTGCCAGCTAGGAAGGTGCTAGCAAAAGGGATAGAGGAAAGATGACTTGGGGCCTTACTAATGGCCTGCCACAGACTCCTCTTGGGACTTCAGATAGTCATTTAATCTCTCTACAGCTCAGTTCGGTCTTTAGGAGCAGGGCAACAAGCATGGCAAAGTGGCAAGAGGCTTCCTCCCTCCAGGAGAAGTGAAAATGAGGGCTAGGTGAATAAGTGGCTGCTCCGTTAGTTTGTGTTCATTTTTAGTTAAACAAAACATGTTTTTCTCAACCAGGAACAAGCCACTTCATCTTGTTTTAAGGTTATTAAAAGATGTTATGCAATGCTAAAGTAAAATTCCAACAGAAAAGAAACTTTGAAAAGAAAAATAGAAGTGGTAATTTTTTTTGGAAATAACTATTTCAAATCTACACTATTGAGTGCTTGCATTTTTTCCAGAACTTTGCTGAGTTTTCTTTGACTGGAATCTGCAAATGCAACACAAATCTGTTAAATGCTTTAGCCAATTCAAGTCAGTGGGGGTTGTGTGTTTTTTTTTTTTTCTTTGCCAGAAAAATCTTTAGTAGAAAACGGCAATTGTTTCCAGTGTAGAAAAAGGAAAAAAAGAAAAAAAAAAAAAAAAAAAAAAAAAAAAAGAAAAAAAGCCTTGCAGACTGTAGTACTCAAGTGGCTGGATAATATCAGGGAGATACAAAGCTCAGCTAGGTTGCTGTAGATGAGGTCCTGGAATGACCAAGTCCCTTGGGAGCTGCACCCAAACAGTTTGCGGAGTCACCCACAGCCCTTCCTGGGCGCTCCCTGCAGCTCGGCAATGCTGGCCCCACAGCTGCCTGCAGCCTGTGCCTCCAGGGTGGCTCTCGTGCCTGCCGGGGAAATCCAAGCCTCCGTGACACCTAGAGAGGTGGCTCAGGCTCCACAGCTCACACGTGGAGCCAAGCAGGCCCTGGCCATTTGGGGTGCACCCCAGTGCTCTGGGTGTCTGAGAAGTGATGCTTAACGACAAAACAGTTTTAAAGCTTGTGCTACCTTGTGTTCTCCCAGGGAAGCGAGGAGGTCAATACATCTGGATTGCCCTTAAAATCTCTATCCAGTCTCAAATGTCTCCTATAGGTAGAAGGCTTTTTTTTTTGCTGTTGTTTTGTTTTTAACCAGGAAACAAAAAGGGAGAGAAAGAAAGAAAGATAGAAAGAATCTAAAGAGATGGTCTTTAGGTACTTCCAGACTACGATTTAAAAAAAAAAAAAAAAAAGTAAGCCTATCCAACTTGCACAGTCTAGATCCCTGCAGAAAATGTTAGTGACCTTGTAAGACAGAGATTTTTTTCCCCCAGTTACAGGGGCTCCTGCCCTCCTGCAGTCACTGGCTGCTTCCAACGTGAGCAGCTTCTGAGAGCCGCCCAGAGGGAGAAGCTTAGAGAAATGTAATCAGTGGCAGCACTTCCGCTAGCTTCGCAGTATCTTAAAGTAGAAGGGGGGCGGGGGAGAACCCTCAGCAAAGTCCCTGGCCTTCAATTAAAAAATTCATATTACTTTCCTCATTAGTCCAATCATCTGGTATAGCTATTTCCAAGCTTACCCCAAAGGCCCCGCAGAGCAACACAATCTCAAGGCCAGTGCAGCTCAGGATGGAGCGGTGTGCTTGGGAGGAGCTATACTTCGTGTTGACACGAGGAGCTCACTTGTCTGGCATTAGTCATGTGAAGCAAACGATGTTGACGTGCTTTTTGGAAAGAGGATTGCTGTATGAAAGGGAGCTCTGTTGCAAAACACCTCCCTGGCTGCAAAGGCTGGAGTTGCCTGCTAAGTTTCACCGGCACCAAAATGACTCAATTCTTGGAGAACCTCCTCAAAGTCAGGTCTTGAACAAGAGGCCTCACAATGTAATTCTCTCTGCTAATCATCTCCATTACTGTAATTAGCTGACAGGCTACAACAGAAGTTTAAAGCAGTGGGGGCTAGGAGAACTGAAAGTTTAGCATCCATCTGCTTACCTCCACAACTTCAGCCTTTAAACATCTGCAGCGATTGAGAGTCAGTCACACTCCTTGAAAATGAGCCTGTGGTCTTCTGAATCGCCTGATGTAGAAGCTGTATTATCTTTTTCTTGATTTCCTTTTACTGCTTCAGCTTAACGTTCTGTGTCAGTGAAAGTACAAACAGGTCATCATGACGGTGCTGGCAGTAGCTCTTGAGCAAAGTGCATGACTTTCACAAGGCAGTAAAACGTGTAGGGCAATGCACAAAATCCTTTTCTGTGCTATTCTTCATGCTAATCCGTGCTGGGATTGCACAACATGCTCCTTTACCAAAGCTCTTGGTGTTACGTTATCTACCCTGAAAAATTCACAGGCTTTTATCCCTATATTCCTCTTTACTTCCCTGCAGTTCTTTTCCTTCATCATTAAAAGTAAAACCATTCAACTTCTTTTCCATCTCTCCCATTGTTTTTATTGTGCTTTTCATATTTTGCTTATTAAGTAGTTACCCCAGGGAGACTTCCTTTTTATTGGAACGTACAAAAAGCTGTAACTGCTCTTAACATTTGTTAAGATTTAATTTGCAGGGGAAGCAAATTTAGGCTGAGGTCACAGAAATATATGTGGTGTGTTCAGTAATATGCCTCGCATCATCTCTATTTCTTTTTCCATAACAAGATATTCTCCCTTGCTTTCTGCTTATTCCCCAAATCAGCCTATAATGTTAAAAATAGCATACCTGGATGTTTGGACAAAGTTGTTTTTTGTTGCTTTAGGAGCGACATCCACCTGGCTGCTGCTGTGCGGCAGAGGATGGACTAGATGACTTCCAAAGGTCCCATCCACACTTGTTTTCTAGAATTGCTGAGAAAATAACCCCAAACTCTAGATTTAGGCATTCAGGCATTCGAGTGAAAGCTGATGCCACGTTAGAATAAACACCGGCCACCCCACTTTGGGAAGAGCTCTAGTGTGGCTCCCACGTTCGTTATGGCTTTAATACCAACAAGCAACCAAACAAAGCTTATCAGTATTCTCTGGGGGTGAGAAGCAATTCAGGATAAGGAGATCCTGGCAGAAGAAATGCTCCTAAAGTGTCAGAGAAGGCACTGCTTGGATACCTTCAAACTCCTGCTCTCGACTGACCTCTGCTTCAGGCTGGACCGGCTGGCCTGAGCTTCCTGGGTCTAAACCAGCAGAAAGGATGCCCATATTCCACTGCATGATCTGTGAGGGAGCAAAACAGTCCTAGATGGGATTCTCAACAGGGCAACAAAGCCAGAACTTTAAGCTCTAATTTCCCAGAATTCAGATGCTCTTTTTTCTCACATCCCAGGTAAGTACCCTACCCCTCAGACGAGAGAAACAGCCTCTCTCTGGAGGCAAATAGCTATCACATTGTTTATACAAAGTGGAACAGCTCCCAGAGGAGAGACTGAGACAGACAGATGCAAGTATACCAGTATAGCTGAGTGTTCGGGGGTATTCACCTGAGAGAGAGAAAAAACTAGTTCAAATTCTCTCCATTTCTAATTATATATGTACAGACATGTATGTAGGTATGTCTATATGCATGTGAAAATCCGTTCATATGTATACATGTATGTATATGTATGTGTACACATGTGTTTAAATATATCCCTATAAATGAAAGAAAATTGTACGCACATACATTTTATATATGTATATGCATACACCATATGAATATGTCTTACATACACATCCTAAGATTTCCATCTTGGTCCTAGAAGCTTTGTAGGTATAAGTCAGTCCAATGAGTCATTCCTTCAAAAACTTCCAATTTTAACTAACCAGAATCAAGTGTGCACAAACACTTTGGTAACTCTCCAACATAAAGTACTGGAGCTTTCCTGCACACACTCATCAGCGCTATAGTAACAGAAATAATACCTGCACCTACGAGGCTCAGCCACTGCTGCATTCGGGTGGCACAGGATGTTCTTTTTCAACAGCGTTACTTGACAAGAAATTAAATCATATCGTCTTATGCTGCTGCTTTCTCAGGGGATGAATTACATGCCTGTAGAGTCCTACCACAGAGTCAGTCCTGCTCTCTGGATGGTTTTAGCAACACCTGCAGGCCCTGCTGCACACACCAGTTATAATAATGTAATGCTATTTGGAGGGTAATGAACAGGACTACTTTCTAGGGAATATTATTTCTGTATGAAAATTTCCTCTTAATTCATTTCAGAAAAGCTGTCTCTGATATAGCCTGAGTGCGTGCAAGAGAGAAGCAAGATGCCTCACACCAGAGACTCTTCATCTCCAACTAACAGTGCAGGGAGCAGAGCTTCCTATGAAACACCAGCGTTATCAGACCTCCAGCGGCTCTTTTGGTTCAGAGGAGGGTCTGATAATCACGTGGACCAAGTCTGGCCAAATATTTACCTGGGAGATGCGTAAGAACATATGGTCCTATCATTAAGCTGTTATCGGTCCCTGGGCGGAGGAGGAAGGGGTATGGTACCCTGGGGAGCAACTTTTGGGTCTGCAGGAACGTTTTTGTGATACAGTCTACTTATCTACAAAACTGATAACGTAAAGAGTTTGGATGTCATGAAAAACATGACATACAAAATGGTGACTTACTCATAGTGTGTCTGAGTTGGGTTTTCTGTATTCTGTGAACCAGAGCAGATTTGGCAGGGTAAGAATTATTTGTATTCTAGGCAAAAAGTCCTTAAAGAACCCATCCCAAACTGGTGTCAGCTCTGAGATGCGTTATCTGCCCTGGAAACTGTGCTCTAAGGCAGCAGACAAGAGCACAGTAGCCCTCACGCTCAAACAGGAGTAGCAGGATCAAGAGCCAGATGGAAGAGGACCCAAATGAATTATACAATAGGGATTTTGCCAGTCCCAAATCCAAACTTTCTTTCAAAGATGGTAAAACTGAAAATATCAAACAGTAATTTTCATGCAAATACCTTATTCTTGTGACCACTTCTATTTATTGCCATTTCCTTCTGTTTGGATTACTGCAGATTACATAGATCATCAGCTCATTTTTCCTAACTCCTCCTCCTCATGAACACATCAGTTAAGGATCACAGTTTTGTGGAATAACTTCAGTCCCAGTTTATGGTGGGAAGTGGGGAGAACCTGGCTGGTGGGCATGATGCAGCCACTTCATGTCTGAACCAGGAACAAGGTGCTGCTGCTTCTGTGTAGGTTCTTGCCCTTGTGACCCACGCACACTGTGAATGAGGGATTAGCTCTAGAACTTGCTAAACAACTCTTTAAAGGAAAATCTTGACCACTTTATGCAGTAAGCCATGTTCCCAGGGATTAACTGCTGGGAGGCGCTTGCTTAACTAACAGTATCCCACCGGCAAGTCTGTGCTCTTGCTGCTCTCCACACCATCATATCACATTTTTCATGTGCAAAGCACTATGGGCTTCTTGAAATTTGCTACCCTATAAGCAAGCTGCAATTCCTGCATCCTTCCCTAGCGGGAGCAGGCGCTACCTTTAAAACCATGCTATTTTAGCAGAATGTTAGGACTGTTGCCAATAAGCCCTTCATGTCTTTCAACAGGTGGGCTGCTAGGAGCAAAACTACTCTTCAAAGCCTCAACATTACTCATATCCTTAATGCAGCAGATGGGCCATACAGCATCAACACAGGAGCCAAATATTACAAAGATCTGCAAATAGAGTACTACGGAATAGAAGCATTTGACGATCCTTCCTTTGATTTAAGTATCTTCTTCTACGATGCTGCCAATTTCATAGGCAAAGCCTTAAACACTTCAGGAGGTAAGAGGGAGGCAAAGAGAAGCTTCGGGAAGAAGTTTCAACATGAGCCAAATGGCTTTTCCTTGCAGTAACAGGCAGCCAGCAAAGCTCAGATTCAGCACATGGTTCGAGAAGGCACACGCAGAACCACGGCGCGGAGGATGCGAGAAGGGCGCCTATGGCATGCGCTGCAGGGAAGGCGGCTGTGCCAGGTCCCCGGGAGCTGGGGAAGGCTGGCTGTCCCAAAAGCCCACCGTGCTGGGAGGAAGGGCCAATGCTAGGAGCAGAGCGAGAGGGAAAGGCAGAGGTTATGGCACTGCGGGTGCTCCCCCACGGGTCCATCCTGCAGGAACTGGCAGGATCTGTGTGCCTCCACATGCACCTCACACCCCTCGCACACCGGCACGAGCTCCAGCCCGGTGATCCTGCCCCGTGTCCCGCGGCCCTGCGTCCTGCAGCCCTGTTCCCAATGCACTCAGCTGGGAACAGCGGCACTTCAGCGCTGGCTTAAATGCTTCACATGCTTAAGTGCTTCGTGGAATTGGAGCTTTATTCAGGCTGTCTGTTAAGCTAGAGAAGCAGCAGAAGTTAACGAACTAAGTCAAAAACTACGAGCCTGACCCACAGCCTGCTGAATTTTTGTCAGCAGAGTTTGGATTATGGCCTAGTTATCATAATTTCCATTTGTTCCAGAGTTTGCTCCGACTCTGACTGGCTGCGAGAGCTGCTGCTTTCACTGGAGTGCTTTATTAAATCCCCAGTTATAGCTCACACTGGGCTGCTGAGATACAGTAAATTATGAGTCCATTTTTACAGGCAGACTATCCTACAGAGTTTATGGGACTTGTCAGTGATCACAGTCAGGGCTGGGCCAAAATTTTCTGCCAAAACTGAGGGTTTTTTCCACAGAAAACTATACTAACAAGTTTAGTCACAGAAAGCTTCTCTCCTTCCACAGAAAATTTCAACTATTTTCATCTGAGGCCTAAGTTAGATGCATAAGGTCAGTATGAAATACCACCTTGCCTAAGATATATGGCATGATCGTATGCTAACTGTCCCTGAAAACATGAGTATCCGCTAATTGTCACCGTTGTCTTCCCAACTTGTTTTTAGCAGTTTTTGTCTTCCCTGTGTCTTTCTCACTTTAAAAATTAGCGCTAAAGCCCACTCACCTTGCTTCTTTTTTTCTGCAGGTAAGGTGTTTGTTCATTGTGCCATGGGGGTGAGCCGCTCTGCGTCCTTAGTGCTTGCCTTTTTAATGATCCATGAAAACATGACACTTGTGGATGCTCTGAAAACAGTGAGCGCTCACAGAGACATCTGCCCAAATTCAGGGTTCCTGAGCCAGCTCCGGGACTTGGACATTCAACTAAATGAAGAGAGGAAAGGAACCAGAGCATATGCTACCAAAGAGCTGTAAGAAAGTATTGCTGAAACAGAGGGGACAAAATTTGACTTTCCTGTATCTCTTTTAAATTAATTGCGTTTGTAAACTAAGGATGCAAGTTTATGATAGACCAGAATGCACGTTATTACTAAAAGTAGATTTGACTTGATCTTTCCATTTTGCAAAGCCCTCCTAGATTATAGTTACGATTGGTTGTATATCGTATCCTTCACTCTCCACCTTAAAACATTGCTCTCTGCAATGCAAAAAAAAAAAAAAAAAAAAAAAAAGATATCAGGTTCCACTTCAGAAATAGCTGTGTTTCAGCAACTAGTGAAGCTCATATCGCTTTATGAAGTGTTAGGCTATTTGAGGTGAAAGATGCCATATTATTTATGCTACAATAATGCTTAGAAGTTTTCTTATGAACCAGCCCCCGACTCCTTTGCTCCCTGTATCTAAAATGGTTTGTATTTTGAGACTTGAATCTGGCACTGGTTAGTTCTTGCTTTTACAAGTGGTGGAGCCCCTGAGTTGGGGGTAAGAGGCTGTTTAAAGGCAGAGCAGCTGGGAAACAACACAAGCTGCTCTTTAAGGAATTATTCCAGGTCTCTCTATACTGTTTTCCCTTTGACTGTTCATCAGATTTTTTTTTTTTTTTCCTTCCATGAAAATACCCTTGTTTGAGAGGGTATTCAAATATTGTTCATCGTCCCTAGTAAAATACATCCAGGAGATGCTGTGGAAAATCCTTCTGAAGAGGAAGGTGGGTTCCCAGCTGAGGCTCCAAACAGCTGCATGGGCAGAGGGAATGGGTGCAGGAAAGTATTTGACAACAAAGTTCAACGTATCCCAAATCTGTCTGTCAGTTCAGCATTATAAAACTTGGGATTTTCTTTCTCAAAAATAAAGGTCATTAACATTGCAACATCATGTTCTGTGGTATTTGCTTTTGTGAGGGGACTCAAGTGAAAACTGAAGGGACACAGGAATGGCAAGGGAGGTGCTGACAGGCATCAGGCTTTCATCTTTGTGTCTCTGGGCCACCATAAGAGCACTCAATAGCTACTGTCATCTGATGGATCAGTGCTGCCTGGAAACTATGTGAAGCACATCTGGCTCTCGGTTCCCAGCGGACAAACATTCGCAGCACAAAGCCAGCTTGGGGATGGCAGTTGTTTGCATTCCTAGTACCAAACTCAGGAATGCAAAGGCATGAATACTCCCCACCATGTGAGCTGGCTGCTCAAGAACAGCACAGAGACAAGGGAAAACATTCCTTGCCATTCCAGTGCTGTCTACAAGGTAGATTTCTGCCTTCGGGACAGGCAATTTAACACCTTTTATAACGCTCTTTGGCATTATCTACATCTGCTATGTGGGCCAGGCTATAGGAGCGAGAGCACAAAGCAGAGCATTTGGCACTGAGGACCTGACCCCCCACACCGAGGGCATCTCAGGGGGTTTGACTTTGGACTAACCCTGTGGGCTGGATCTCCCTAAGCAGCAGGAGAGCGGTGCTGGAGTGCTTCTTTGCTTTAGTTCCCCGCATAAGGAAACCTGCTCATGAGCCCTGGGGCTGCTCTGCAAGGTCAACAAAAACACAGCAAGTAGGAACGGTCAGCTTAAAAGTATGCTTCAGACGCAAATCAAAATTTAATATGCATGTCTCAGTTTCCAATTAACTCCAACAAACTGATTTCAACTCACAGAACAAGCGGGGAAAAAAAAGCCAGTGGATCTGGCTATGGAGGTGCCCCAAGCACAAGAACCGCGTTTCCTTACGCTTCCCACCTACGGGA